TATTCTCCGACACCGTATGTGCTGTTTCGGCCACGTGTTGCTGATGTCAGCCCATCGCCTTTCCCGTCGACCGTTGTTTGTGCTTCCCAAAAGTGACTGGAAGAAGTGTCGCGGCGATCAACCAGAGAACAAGAAAGAAAGAACAAGAAGGAAACCTCAAGTGTAGCATAAGTGGGACCAATCCACTCCCCAAGTAGGAGACCACGCGACGCCGATTCCCAGTGATTGAAAACGTTGGATGTTATGGCTCGCGACAGATCAGTGGCGAGTGTTGCTCTGTCGCATGAATGTCTAAGTGGACATAAAAAGTTGCAAAATACAAAACAAACTCAAAACGATGTCTGCAAAACCCAAAAACGTGGTTTTCTTTCGCTATTGTTCCTTTTTTCTGCCATAGGCTTGATGTCACTTTCGCTGTGAATATATGAATGTGAAAGAATCAGAAGACTATAGATGGTGTGTGTCGTAAACGACGAGATGCTAGATATTAGTTGTTCCCAGTGCGTGAGATAACCATGCGGAGATAGTTTGCTACCGGTAACTGAGCGCCACTTGCACACATGTGGAGTGAGCTGCGATGTATGACGAAGGGATTCGCCTCGAAAGTGACCGAGTTCATAGTGAAGATCAACAGATGCAGTACCGATTGTTTATTTCAACGTCAGCAGGAATGGAGCTGTCAAACCGGGATAACGACAGTGATACAGAACAAGTCGACCCTTCGCCCAGTCGGCGTCTGTTGTGATGCATGGAAGTAGAGAACTTTGGAGAACTTACGCACAGTTAGATGACTAGCTGCACAGATTAAACAACCAGCAGGCTGAGGCGTAGCATAGGGGGGCGGTCCGCCCCGGGGTGAATGTGAGAGGCGGTAGCATTTTTAGTACCATCGATTGTTTGATACAGAATATAAAGGGCGAAATATCCGGATAAGCTGTGGGCTGAAGAGTTGAATGTTACTCTTTATGACCAACAACACTTTTGCGTCATGTAATACACCTGTGCAAACGTTCTTCGCAGCAATCCCAATATTTGTCCCATTATGGTCACTTTCAAAACATTTACCTCAATGTTCCAAACGATCACCTATTTTTATTACAATTATAATTACAAAAGCCTGCAACTCATTAGTCATATAAAATGGAGCCTCTTCTAGTTGCAAATGCTATGCACGCAGCGTCTAATGAGAGGAAGTCATGACCTTCGGAGGCTAGCCACGTTCATCTGCTAAGGTAGCAACCTGCTTGTAAATTGTGTAGCTCAGCCGACGTCCCCAATGGCTCAGTGACTTAAGTTGCTAGCTAGTCGGCATCTGCCTCTAACGGTCATGGGTTTGATTCGCATTATGGGACCGAGGGAATGCACACCAATGACGAGCCCCAATAGGGCGAAATGTGTCTGGTGCCTTTCCGGACAAGGTTTTGCTAGGTAGCTAGTGAGCGGCTGGGACGAGAACGTTACGATCAACGATTTCATCGAAAACTAAGATGCACATTACCCCAGGCCGACGATGTGTCCTTCACGCGCCTACTCTGCCTTCAGCGTGGGCGAAAATTTTACTACCGACAGGGGCAACGAAAGTAGTTGATACCCTGGTGAGCAGACTATCGAAACAGTGCTTCTGAGTAGTAACAGATAAGTGCAGTAAATACGTGTTCCTCTGGAAAATGCTATCTCGTGAAGTGGCGGGTGTAATGTTAGAAAAACGGCAAAAGTAAGGTAACTGTAGAGGCGATTCGGAAGGTGTTGAATAGAGAAAAAATTAGGGAAATTTTTAGCTACGCGTAAAAATCCCACGGCATGTGCACATAAGCCAAACTGTGAGACGGCTGAGGAATGGAAGTTCGGAACATGGAAGACACATGCGACGGACACCGAGGAACGGGTCTGAACACGGTGATGCACGTAATATAGGCAGACGGCATAAAATCGACTTTGGAAATGTTAAGAAAATCAGAAGGCGGCTGTGTTAATAAGCACTACAACGGCCAACTGCTGAGGCGGTGGGACTCGCGAAAGTCAATAGCTGTGTACACAGAATAGATGGGATGTAGCTGTCGAATGTACGACGGGTAGTGTTTGGCTTACAAAAGGTTATCAACAGAATGGTCAACACCAAGTGCTAATGTAATGTCCAACGAGTCATGCACGCGAGTTCCTATCACTGTACGGCTCGAAACGCATGCGCAATTACCCTCGGCATTACACCGTCGTCATGTGAAGTGTACCTACGTTTGCTGCATAATACGTCACATAATTTTGTGCAATTTCACTTGTTCTGAAAAGGTTTCGTGCTGTAAACGAAACATTATCCGGTAAATAGATTAATTGCCATGATATTTTGAAATAACTTCCCGATCTACTCAAACCATAGGCGCATATAGTGAAGCAAATAAGAGCATTCTCTGAATAAAAGTACAGCTTGAATTTCCGCGACTGTAGAGCATGCATACCAGTTGTTAGCCGAAACATTATGCCCCCCCTCATTGTTGCAGACTACGACAGGGCATTGGCGTGCATATCAAACGACACAACAATGTCCCGCCGGAGATAGGTAGAATCTTTTTGATCGAACGCACCGAAATCCGGTGTCCTGTCGCCAGCAGTACGCAAGAAACACTTACTGACGTCTCGCTGCCAAGCAACTGCCAGGGCTTGGCAGTGAGCTGAGACAATGTGAAATCACCCACACCCAACCATGCTTGAATCGGTGCCCTGTAAAGTAAAGGCCTCATGCCTAGACCACTAGGCCCAGGGTTGGACCGATACGTTTTCGCTGCGGTGACTGGTTGACTCGAAAATATATTATGCAGTACCATGGATTCAAGGCGTTGAAACGCTGACCGACGCCCAAAGTGAGGACTGGGTAATAAGGATGTTGCGATGATCCTGAATGGATACCACGTAATTCGTGGAATCGTGGATTGGTAAACGGCATCAATAGGATGAACGCTACTAAAAGGCACACGCAACTCATCAAAAGTGCACTAAGTGACAAAAAAACAACTGCAGCGCGTTCTCGGTGCTTGCCATGCTCCATGGTCGTTTGTCTGATGTCAGAATCCACGTTCACCGCAGTAAGTGCAGAGAGAGAACGTGCTTTCCGTTGATATGAACCGGAGGTATTGTGACAGTCTACACCGCGTTTTTTCAGCTTTCCGATGTTACTGTCAGGACTACTGGGGGGCGATCATTTCAATTCATTTGATCCGCTTTCTCTGTTAGCTAACAGGATGTGTGGTATCAACACTGTGGTCATACACAACCCTGTATCATGTCAACTTGGTAAAAACTAACTGAATGTGTGCACGCCGGCAGAAAAACGCACACACTCGCTCGTAGATGCCGCAATGGAGAGAAAATTGTCGGAGCTTGCATTTGGTCAAACGTGGGTGTAAACAGGCGGAGAAAAAAAAAACAAACAGACCAAATGACTGTCTAGTTAAAAACGGGGTATGGAAATGAACAAACTATGTTACTTTCGTTTCGTAGCTCTGCTGAGGCAAAAACCGCGGATTCCCGGAAGTGAGATGAGGTCGTAGAAACGAAGTGGGTGTTTTGGCTTCAGACGGATCACCAAAGCGAGTGTTCTAAGTATCGTGCTGGAGGTGGATAGGTAACCAACGGAATATGGAACGACAAAACAAGTGTATTCAGTCGACGAAGCTCTCTATAGTGGCAGAAATTGAAAGATCCCCATGTAAGAAGAGAATTTTAGCCTGAGACTATTTAGTTAGACAGCTGACACAAGTAGCGTGTTCAGGATGGGTCTCTTGCTGAATATATTGTAAGGGAAAGTTTGAAAAAAATAATGGAAGTGAGGAAAGGAAAACAGCAACGGTTCTGCGTGCACAGACGAATATTCGGAAACGAATCACTTCGGTCAGCATGGAATAACATCAGGATGTAGGCACAAAAGTGTTGTTCTTGCGCCCTCTGCAATATCCGAGCACTAGGTCATCATCACTATCATCCATACGCGTCAGCTGAGGCTAAGAAGCATGCATCAGCTAATGTGTCGCAATACAAAAATAAGCCACTAAACAGGACAGAGTACAAAAGCCAAAAAAGCAATATAATGCTAAAGATCATATAACGCATTGAGTATGAGATCGGTGTTGGAGGTTGCAGCTTCCCAAACTTATCTTTCAGGTACAATTTTATTGCTGATCAGTTGCACATTATTCGTTCTTGTTTTAATCCCCCTTACACTAAGGCCAGGTTAGCCTACATCCGGCCCAACACTCGTTTTCTCCGTGAATTATAATGCTGACTTCCGCCCAAGTCTGTTTTAACCGTCCAGGTCCGACTTCGTTTAACTTTTGATATCTAGTGGTTACTAATCCTACAAGAGGGAAGGTAAAACAAAGGAGAGACAAAGAATCTCACAACACCAACACCATGGAGGTCGGCTCTCCACCATATCAACAAGTGTATCCAACCGAACGTGTTCGCCATCCTTCAGACTCCAGTCCGGTAGTTGGGAGACACCAACTTCGAAGTGAAGATTTCCATTCTTCTAGACCAAGTCACCGCTTCTTCAATCCAGACCCCGGTCACGCAAACAACGCATGTCGAAGGAGTCTGTGTGCTAGTATGCGCCAGCACATGCATTTGTAAAAACCGAACGCATCCACAAGACGTGCAATTCAAGCAATGCGTCAAATGAAATCAACATTAAACAAGAAATTAGGAGGGTATACAAGCCTGGTGTGGAAATACTTCAAGTAGCCAACCCTTCCTTCTGTTCCCGACAATTAGGTGGATAAGTGGGGGGGAGGGTTAAACCGAGCACTTTTATCCAACCATGGGCACGCATTCCTACGGGTTGGATGAGAATGTCTAGAGTCTGAACAACGTAGTCAGCAAAAATGCCAACGACGGGATATCCAACATCAAGCCAATGACTAATAAGCGTTTCGATACCAAATGGCGTCAGCACCGATGCATTGGAGTGTGGTGAGGCAGAGTAATGGAGAGCAATGCGGTAAGTGACTCACACTTCACAGCTATTGTGCGGCAAGGTATCCGTGGAACCCCCGATGGCATAAATAAGGTCGTCGATGACCCCAACAGCCACACGGTTGCGTGGCACTGACATGGGTGCACACGTGTGCCAATTGTTCGTCGACGGATCGTAACAGTCCATGTGTGGAGCATCCAGGTTGCCCTGTTGATTGTTATTACGGCCACCAACAAGGTAGACCGAGCCGCGTACGGAACACGCAGACAAACCGCTGCGCGGAGTGGGGATGCTGGGCAATTGTCTCCATTTTCCACTGTTAGGATTATAGCATTCAAAAATGCTCAAGGAGTAACGAAGATATCCACCGGCTGAGTATAGGATCTGTGAACGGGTGAGAGCGATAGATAGAAAGGGAACAACAATCACATGTACAACCATTAGAAAAAAGCGAGATAAATGCACTGTAAATGAAAACCTACTTCACAGCAGCCGGCCGTTCGCCGCTTAGTGGAAATATGACGGTGTTCCACAAGATCCCGGAGAGTGGATTGCAAGTGCGACTTGGCCGATGGGACTCCATCCAGCAGTCCACAGTTCTTTATCTGGTTCCGCAGAAATGCGGGAGACAAGATGTGGCACCGGATTGCGGACAACGCTTCGACTAGAGAACTCATTCTGGCTGGTTTATCATGGTTCACCCACCGAATAACTGCGCTGTAGACTTCCGCCTCGGTGCGCACATTCAGCTGATCCCTTCGAAGTAAAGCAATGAGCTGTGTGAGGGATAAGGCCAGAAATTCGTCAAATTTCACAACTTCTCCAAAATTCTGATCAATGTAAGCTTGAGCCGCGTTGACCAAGATGGGACAATTGTTGGAGGTGCCGAATTCAAAAATGCCTAAAATGTTTGATGGGTGAAACTGGTGCTCGAGAAAGGTGCAACAAGCTTGTATCACGTGACTCATCTGCACCATGGAGGAGGCAATGAGAAGCTCGCAAACACTGCGCTCATCGATGCGAATGACACCAGTGTATGCGAATTCAATCAGTGCACGAAGTGCAAACTCCGAGATGTAATGCATGGGAACCTCGGGCAGCTCGGCTTCGCGCATTTCCGTAGTGAACATGGCGCGGAAATATGGTGAGGCGCCGGTAAGAACAATTCGGTGACAGGGGATGGTGGCCGAATCCACTCGTAAGACAACATCAGTTAGCTTTCCTTTGAGGAAGAAATCGTACATTGTGCTCATCGCCTCAGCGTGATGTTGCGCAATTTTGAAGTCCATAGCAACCGACTGAGCAGTAGAGAGAGAGTTCAAAGCGACGATACAATTCGGATTGATAGAAAAACAGGTCGGTTCTCGATATCCAACATCGTTGCATGATGTGACATCATGTTGAGGAATTGGATCTTCCATGGGGAAGTCCTCAACGCTTCCCTTCATCATAGCCGACGTACCTGAAGAGCAATAGGTTTGATGAATTTCGTCTTAAAATCAAATCGGTTATAAAAACGAGGAGAAGGGAAATGGCAAAAAGAACGCCAAGCTCAGACCACGAACGTCAAACAGGCGTCTGCATTTCAATGAGATAAAGAGCTCCGCACATAAAAGGTGCATTACAACGAAAAACAACACCACCGTCCGAAGCAGAAGAGGATGAAATGGCTTTGCAAAACACTGGCCACAAGCGACAACAATCAACTTTTCCAGAAAGAAACGTGAAAAAGTAGCTGGGTAAAACAATAGTCGTCGATGAACCTTGTTTAGCAAAACAGCACAGTATCGAACCGTAAAATGAACGAAGCTACTAACGCACACGTGAGGAATAAAGAAAAAGCGGATACTAAGGAGAGCGAGAAAAATCAAGTAAAAAAGATGCAAAAGCGCAGCGGTGTGGTTTTGAGCCGGAAGTATGTGATGGCATGCAATGAAACCGCGGGAAAGAAAGCAAGGAAAACTAGGTGGTTCACACATGCTTGGTTATCGAAAACAGTTTATGGTGGCGTCAAGTTAGTGTGATTCATTCTGGAACACTATAAGGAGTTGGAAGGTCTCGGCGTTGTTTCTCCCATCCCAGTACTCCGCAATCGACTGCTACGCCCTTGTTTGGTCTCATCAGGTAAAGATAGTCCGAGTTTGGACTGGAACTCGGAGGTAATTACATTCTAATCGCTGTGTGAAGCACCGCTTGCGGAGCTTAAGGATCTAGTGGTCATGACGGTAGTCGCAAAGCACTGTGTGCTGAGTTCAACTCCCAACTCATGCAATCTCCACCTGATGAGTTCAAACCAGGATGAAACCGTCGACCGTGGAGTGCAGGGATGGGAAAGAGCTACAGTGAAACCCCAGTTCGGATACGGTCGCAGTGAATGGAATAGCATAAACTGACTTCAAAGTCAACCGAGGCCACAATAGAGATTGTATGTCGCAATCAAAGACACAGCGAGTATCCCAAAACGGACAATCAACTATAAGTACTTCAATAGATAGATAAAGACGGGTTTTGGTCAACCACTGTAGGGTGATGACAGCAGATTGAATTTATATTATATGCCGTTCTCACAATTTGCTCACGAAGTTATTCGACATGCTTTCGTTCAGCTCGGATTTCATTTTATTGAAGCCCAGTTTGCGGACTACATGTATAGGGAGCGCATCGCATACGGATAAGATGTAGTGCAGCTGCAATATGCTGTCATCACTCAGGAATCAACGACGTAATTCCGCGCATGTGCCTGATCCACCTGCGATGGAGCAACACAGAATTTTAGCTTCTCGTTCTCTGTGTTCTCAGTATTCATTATACAGCAAACACACATGAGTGTTTCCATCCAGCCATCATTATTATCTTTTTACACGCTAGGTACAGGTGAAAAACACCGCAGTTATTGCGCCACAATACAATTCAACCAGGTGGTAGCAAAAAAAGCAAGGCAAAAGACAAGTGACCTTATGGATGGCTTTATACTAGGCGGGAGAAAAGGGACTGTGGTGGGAGGAGGGACAAAAAGACACACGACACAAACACCAATGAGATCAGCACTTTGCCATGTCAACATGGGCCTCTAACTAAATGTGTCTGCCGACTTTGTGACCTCAACTAGGGAGCCGAGGAATTACAACCAAGGTCAACATCGAGGTGAGGGCAAGTATTCTACGTAATTGTCCTCTGTCAGCCTCCTCTCCTCTTCTTCCATCCACACTCACGGCGGAAAAACAACGCAAGTCGCGAGAGCCGGTGGGCTGGCATGCGCAACAAGTGGCCCAGCCATGGGAACTTTGTGTGTGAAATAACAGTGCCGATCAGTTCAATTCCTCTTCCGGTGCCCTAAATAAGGAGTTGAACACACTCATTCACAACACAGTGTTCCCAACAGATATGAAACAAAGTGCTAAGGCGACAGTGGTATAACGCAAATCATTAGGTCAGCTGATCTAATGGGCCAGATTTCGTAACCATACAGCAAGGTTGTACGTAAGGCTGCATTGCACACTCCACTCTCCATATAATGATGTCTCGCCGGTGCCATTGGCGGCGAAAGTAAACGAAAGAACCGCGAGCTTTTGTTATACACTTTGCGACCTCATCTTCGATTCCACTGACACTGATACAATTTCCTAGGTAGTAGAATTTCAGAAGGACTTCTAGCTGATCCCCACCAAGGGTCAGCACAGGAGGCAGTCGCTGCCAATATTGCAGAAAAGCTCTGCACTTCCAGAATGTAAAGCAAAGTCTGAAACGGCTGATAAGCAGTGATACTGTGTCCAGTGCTGCTTGGCATGTTTGTGAGCTGCCACAGATGGGGGCAATGTGGTCAGCATACTACAAATCAAAAATTCGTTCACCAGGGAGCAGCTCCACACCAAAGTCATATCCCGTGAACATGATCTCCATGAGTTCGTCAATAGCGAACTTGACGAGGAAGGGTGACAGCAAGCATCCTCGTCTTATAACGCTGAAGATATTGAAGGGCGATGGCAGTTTGCTGCAGGTCCTCACAGTGTTCAAGTGACGCGCGTAAAGCGCTCGGATAAAATCCAGATATTTCTCCGGCACACCTTTCCTGAGTAGGCAGTTTCAAAGGGCGCATTGATCAACCGGATCGAAGGCACCTTTGATGTCGAAAAACAGGACAACGGTCGGCTGCCAATGTATGTGAAGGTGCTAAAACGATTGGCGCAAAGTGATATGATCGATGCAGCCCCGCCATCGACGAAACCCGGCTTACTCTTCACGAAGCTGGCTTTCACAATATCCAGTCAATCTGTGAAAGATGACAGAGACGATGGGGATCAGAATGATCTCTCTATGGCTGCCGCATTCCGAACATGACCCTCGTTTGGAAATTAGGACTATGACGGAGCGGCTGCAGTCGGTTGGGACAATTTCTGGCTCCCAGTTTTACTATGAAGTCCTGTAAACTAGCAACGAGAACAGAGTCCCCGAACTTAAAGAGGGCTGGATGAAGTTGATCTGGTCCCGCGGCCTTAGTCAACTTTAGCACTCCGATCACACATTCGACTACTGAGCCAGGAGATGAATCCAAATGGATAGCCAAGGGAAGCAGGAAGATCACTAGCCGGTGAGAAATCTAACAATCCCGGCCGATTATATTGCCTTTCAAAGTGCTCGACCCAACGCTCTAAGCGTTTTGACAAGTTGTGGATTAGCTGTCCACTCTAATCACACATGTTTCATCAACAACAGGTCTGCTGCTTCCCGTTTCTCAGTGCCAGACGGAATACATTACGATGGGTACCAAGGGTAGCGATGACTTCCATCTCTGACGCAAGAAGAGAACACTAAGTTTCTCGGTCTCCTTTCACGCTAAAATGGAGTATTTGTGCTGAAGTCCTTCTAAATCTTGTTGTGCTCGCTTCCAGACGGAATGTGCCTGTGAGCCTCGATAAATTCCAGGAACTGCTTAACGATCCAAAGTCTAAGTTGATTATTTGAGTTGCCACATGAGAGTTTGCTTGCTGTTAATAAGGGCTGATGAAAAGACGATAGCGATCTTCAACCGTATTCAGTTCAACCCGAATGCCAGCGTACTTCCATATGCAAACATTAGGCTTCGCCAGTTGGCGTGGGTATATGCACTCTAAGGGTCGTCATTGGCGTCAGCCAGAACGCACCCGCAGGATTGTGCGGAGCCTGATCACAATGTCGACCGGATGCCGCCAACCATATATATATATATATATATATATATATATATATATATATATATATATATATATATATATATATATATATATATATCACGAACTGAACACGCTGCTACGCAGTGCTACTAGTTCAGATCCCAATCTGTCTCTGCAATCACATTCCCGTGCTGGATCTGCTCTCCACTGCCTTGTGGGTCAGGCTATTGAGCCAAAGTCTCCGGGTGGAGTCCATCAAGCAAACCTCCAAACAACCCACTGCCTTGTGGGTAAGGCTATTGAGCCAAAGGCTCCGGGCGGAGTCCCTCAAGCAAACCTCGGAAGCACAACGACCATCTCGCGTGCGATTGCCCACCAATGCAATCGTATGCCTGCGCGTAAAGCACTCAGCATCGGATGCTGGAACGTGCGCACACTACTGGACCGGAACTCCAGCGAGCGCCCGGAGTGACGCACTGCACTCGTCGCGATGGAGCTGGCGCGCTACCACATCGATATTGCGGCGCTCAGTGAAACTCGGCTCGCTGAGCAAGGTAAGTTACATGAATCAGGTGCTGGCTACACATTCTACTGGGTGGGCAACGCCGCCTCAGCACCACGTGAACATGGGGTCGGATTTGCAATATCCGATTGCCTCCATGGCCAGCTGGTGGGTGAACCAACGGGCATCAGCGCGCCACTGATGACCGTTCGCCTACGACTAGGAAGAGGTAAGTTTGCTACTTTTATAAGCAAGTATGGACCGATCATGTGTTATCCTGAAGACACGCGCGATCAGTTCTACACTGAGCTATCCTCCGTGATACGGTCTGTGCCGAGGAGCGACCGACTATTTCTGCTGGGTGATTTCAACGCGCGCGTTAGGCGTGATGCATCAGCGTGGACAGATGTTATCGGTGCGCATGGCATTGGTTCAGCGAATGCGAACGGTGACAGGCTGCTCTCACTGTGTGCCACTCACGGCCTGACGATCACGAACACTCGGTTTGCACTGAGTGCGAGTGATATAGCAACTTGGACGCACCCACGGAGTCGTCACGCTCACCTGCTCGACTATGTCATCGTACGTCAGCGTGATATGCGTGAAGTGCACATGACACGTGTACTGCGTGAAGCTGAGTGTGGCACTGAGCACAAGTGGGTGCGGACCAAACTGTACATATATTTTCGTAAATCAATGTATTGCACTCCCGCCGTGAATCGGCGTAAATTTAACATTCTCTCCCTCGGTACTGCGGCGAAACGTACTGAGCTGGAGAAGGCGATGGCTGCACGCCTGTGTGGTGATGTGGACTG